ACCTGAATGTAGCAATAGTGTGAAATGATGAAGATTTCATAGTCTTTTTGATTTGTATATGGTTTGTCTCTTAAAATGTCTTAACTGGAAGCACTATTTCCACAAATATGCAGGTTCATCATGGTGGTGCTGGAACCACGGCCACAGGACTTAAAGCGGGGGTAATTTTCTTTTTAACTCAGCTTTTAGTGTAAACATTTTTATTGCATTTGCACATATATATATTTTTTGTTTTGTTTTGGGTATAAGTTTTCTAGTCCTTAATTTATATGATTGGGTGATGTTGTGTTTCAAAGCTACTAAATTTGAACTTCTAATGGGATCTGATATATTTGTTAATTTTATAGTGTCCAACAACCATAGTGCCATTCTTTGGAGATCAGTTCTTTTGGGGTGATAGAGTACACCAGAGAGGGCTTGGACCTCCACCAATACCAATATCGCAGCTCAGTGTCGAGAACCTTTCAAATGCTATAAGATTTATGCTCCAGCCAGAGGTAACTCCAGTAGCTTTCGCTGGCCTAAGTTACTGTGATTAATTGCATTAAAAATCACTTATATAATTGATTGCACCATCATCTCCTTGATATAATTGATGGATGCCAAGGAAATCATGCTATAATTATTTATTGTCAAAATGTTGTGTTATCTTATCAGTTATGAGAATAGTTACTTCCATCCTACAAAATGTCTCATTCAACTTGACGCCAGGATTTCTGGTGATTTTTTTTCCTTAGTTGTATGGATGCATAAACATTATACAAGATTCTGGAAAAAAATTTTATGCATACTCTCTTTGCAAGAGTCAAATTACACATTGGTACTCTTATGCTGCATTTGAAATATAACCTTCTATTTAGTGTCAAAAAGATATATTCAATCAAATATTCTGAAACTCAGAAGAAGATTTCAACTTTTGAAGAGTATAATTTCAAAAAAACTTGGGGAATATATCGAGCATGGATATGCTCCTCTACTATCAGGAGGCTCATAGATGAAATTAATTTCTTTCCTCAAAAAAGGAGAGAAAGTTGAAAAGCTAAATGAAGAAAAATGCTTCGCAGCAAACCTGCATTTAGGCCCTTCACGCCCATCTTCTATTAGCTGGAACATCCAGAACTTGGGCTTTAGCAATTCAGTAGAGGCAAGTCATGATATTCGAATACAAAAGAAATGTGGGCAATATTGCCAACATGAGTTAAAAGAGAGCATTTATAAGTGCCATTTCTGTTTGTAGTGGAAAATCATGGAAATAAAGGGCTTAGAAATGGCTTTCTTTTTTTATCCATTTGGACTGGTGATCTAAATTATCTTACTGCAGGAGTGCCCTCATACTTGCTCCGTGAAGAAAAGCTCCGCATTTTCAGCTTTATCCTTCCAGCTGATGATTTTTTGATCAGTAGTTTAGGATTCCCTTTTTATTGAACTGTTTTCTGAAACATGGAGTCATACCCTCCATATGCCTTGATAATATTGCTAGATACAAGTTCAGGCTTTTCATTGGAACTTGATTTCTCTCAGGTGAAGTCCCACGCAATGGAGTTAGCGAAATTGATAGAGAATGAAGATGGTGTTGCAGCTGCAGTTGATGCATTTCACCGGCATTTACCTTCAGAGCTACCATTGCCTACTGCACCTTCAGAGGAAAATGATCATCCAAACGCTTTACAGTGGTTCTTTCTTCAAATTGGAAGATTGTGCTGCCTTCCTTGTAGTTTGTGGAATTCATAGAATATCTTACAGTGTTTGTACAGATGAGTTATTTTTTAATTTTTTTTCCCAATTGCATCATTTTTTCTGAGTGGTTTTTCATTACATTCATGGCCTTGAAAAAATTTGAGAAAATGGAACATCATACCAGCGTAGATTCTGCCGTAGTGTGTAATAGCATTAGGCTTTCTTCTGTCACCATTTGTAAAATTTAGAAGTTATTGTACTGATAGATTAAGCTTTGATAATAAATACCTTCTCGTTGGTTGTTTAGTTCCTTTTCTTTTGGTCATTAATTGCATTGGCATTTCGCCGTTCTTGTTTCCTTACACTAATTTTCTTTCGGCAGTTGCAAAGCCTTTTAAGTTATTATCTGCTTGTAAGTAACTATGATACAAGTTGACCTAAATATAAAAGACATATATAGACTGATGCCAATGATCCAGACGTGAAGTTGCTTGAATTATACTACATATGTATACGATATCATGCTCAAGAAAAAGGTCCTAAGATATATAACAGATTACAGTAATAAACAACCATGGATCAATCTTTGAGTATATATGCGGGATTAGAATATAGCACGCTAGCAATCATTTTTTGAAGAGCTTAAGGTCTCTCCGCCTTGATTCCATGAAGTTGCTAGACTTAGCTGGTGCAGCATAAACACCACGTTTGAAATAAAGGTCACCTGGCCCCTGATCGTTCACTACAAACTTTTCTTCTCCATCAACGAAAACTATCACCTTCCTTTTGCCAACATCATGGATCACATTGACTCTGAACCACTTGTCGTAGAGATCGGTAGCTACCATGTTGTACCTATAGTACCTCATATTCCCGATGTAAATTCGCAATTGCAGAGTTGTGGCTCTTTCTTCTGCACCGTGAATTTGCACTATTGTGACCACAGAGGTTCCTTTTGGTACATAAGCATGGCCTTCAAATTGCCAGACTCCAGATGAATAGTCATCCACCACAGTTGAGTACTTAGAACCCAATTATCAAGTTATTTTGTTGCTCTTCTTAGTACTATCTATTTTCAATAATATTATCGCTAAAAGTGGTGATAGAACATATAATATACACTCATGAACAGGCCTTTCTTGCTTTTATTGTCTGTGTTACCGTTATGCGTATTTCTGTACTCGGCCTGGTTCCGCAGCCACGTTTGAAGGGCTTGTCTTTGTCATAGACCCATAAACTTCGAATTGTGTCAGAGTAATTGTAACGTTGGGAGAGTGGCTTGTCATATGGTTTAAGTCAAAACTCTCATCTGTTAATGGCACAGGAGTAAATCCATATGTAGGATCAGCACCACAAAAGGCAATGATCTTGTAAAGAACAAGCAAGAATTATAAGCAAAAGGCTGTAGCATTCGGAAGCCTTCACTTTGCGGCAGTATCGAAATTCAAAAGTTAATCCCAAGAACAAGTCACGGGAAAGTATAGTTTTGAAGATACCATCGATCTCCAAAACCTGGAACCATATATATTGTCAGATACTGCATGGGATTTGTCACTTACAGAAAGATGCCTTGTCGTTACTTTATTTTTCAGATATTTATTATTGCGGTAAGCCATTAAATAAAAAATTAGATAAAATGCAAGACTTCCAGAGTGGATTTTGTAAAAATTTCACAGCTGGACGTTTATGATCAAAGTAGGAAGAATGGAAATCTGTTCTGATCTCTAAATTGATTACATGACAGCCCTATCAAATTGCCCCTTGGGGCTCAGACTTTGGATTGGTATGTCACTTCACCTATATTGCTCTTCTCAGATACTCAAAAAGGTAACAGACAGCTTCTCCAATGAATATTATGGTGTCCCCTTGTTGACCCTATATTGCTCTATTGCGATCATTTCTTTGTTGAGTGACCTTGGAGTTTGATGCTTGTCTTCTCTAAAATAACCACAATTTCTAAATAAAGTTGCCTCTCATGTCTCATCCCTTCTTGAAATCAAACCCGTGATTGAAAATGTTGCTACCAACTTTGTTTTAATATGCAAGGAAGGATGGCTTTACTTAATTGTATGTTCTATAAGAAATGATGAGAATGTTGAGTTAGTTTTTGACCAACTTCTTCTCTGACGACGTATATTTGACTTAATGACTTTAGTAAGCATTATTAATTGATGCTACATCAGACTTGGAGCATGGTTAGAAACTAGAAAATTTAGTTATAGCTAGGACTTGTTTTCTGGTTGTTGTCTAGTTCTAGGAATCTAGCTGTGGTGGATTACTACATACAATTGTTTAAGTCTAAGCGAAAACCAAATGAAACAGTCAACCAGGGATTCATGGATATTCTCAGGGATTAATTGTCGTCTGTTGTTGCCATCCCCATATTTCCAAAGTAACGTCACAATCGAACATTACATCACATGAACAATTGGTGCCCTACTACGTCAATAATTGCTTTCTTGTTGTCCTAGCTAGCTAATTGACGATTCGTTAATAAGCCCTATTTTCAATATAATTTTAGGCAGTTTGGCTCAAGAAGATTCCAATTGCATTGCAGACGTCAATTCTTGCTCGTCTCAAAAAACTCATTACATACTCTTTCTTTCCCAGCTTACCGTGATAAATATTGCAGCAGTTATAGCACCAAAGAAGAAGAAGAACAACAACAAAGAACTAAGAAGGGGCATAGTCAGCAAGCCGAGGTAGAAAGAGAGAAAAACTGCAGAATATAAAATGTAAAATGACATTGCTGATTGATTATGGGCCTAAAACCAGGAGCAAGCCAGACCTGGACGTGGATCAATTCAACCAAAGGGGTATGGGGCGGGGGCAAGAAAAACCATGACCCCACAAAATTTGGTGAACCACTGCTTTTCAGGATAAGTAGTTGAGGATGCAAAGCGCAACCAACGGTACAAAATGAAAGGCACTCATTCTATAGTTTCAACAATAATAGAGCGAACCTGTATCATTACAAATTATATATGAGCTTTCCAGAGCTTTATTTGTCGCTTCACAACCACTGTATTCTAAGTCCACTTTGACTTCTTGTATATTTTGATGTCTCTCCACCCTGATTCCATATAGTAGCTTATATTTGCAGGGGCTGCATAAACTCCACACTTGAAATATAGATCATCTGGCCCTTTATCCTTTGTCGAATACTCTTGAACACCATCAATGAATACTGTCACTGTGCCTCCATCAACATCGTGGATTACATTTAATCTAAACCATTTGTCATACAGGCCAGTGTCCACCAAATCTCCACTGTAGTACCTCAGATTTCCATTATAGATCCTTAGAATCAAAGTGGTAGCACCCGAAGATGCACCATGGATTTGAGATATTGCAACCCCAGAAGATCCATTCGGCACAAAACCATCGCCTTCAAACTGCCAAACTCCTGATGAATAGTCAAGACCCTGCAACATGAACATAGCGGTTAGCGTTTCTGCTTCTCTGACCTTGGCACATTTATTTGTAAAACACAAGGAAAGGGAAAGAAACAATACTTTTATGCGAATTTCAGTGGCTGTTGGGGTTCATGTGGCTTGTCATCAGCGAAAACCCACAGCTTGTGTATGCCATGCTCATAACTGTAGCACTCCTCAAGTGGCACATTATATGGTCTTTGCAATTCAAAATTTGCTTGTGTTAACGGCACACGAGTGAAACCATCTGTGGTATCTGCTTCGCCTAGATTGAAGCTTTTCAGTAAGCACACAAGAACCAGAAAAAGAAGCATATAGCTAGAGTCAGTATGCATGTTCTCTAACTTTCTTTTACAATGGTGAGAGCTCCATGGAGAAAGGCAAGTACATATAACTGAAGTAGGTGGATTCCTATTATTTTCTTCTTTTTGTAATGTCATCTCTTGGACTTGATGAATGTCGGTTTTTCCAATTTATAAGGTAAATGATTCTCATTAGTATAAACTTAATATATCAAAGAAGTTGGATCCAGGTAAGTCCTTAAAGTTCTAACCTGTTATTCCATTTTATTGGCCAAAAGTTTACTATATTTGGACTGTAACTTTTCCTAAGAGCAATCCGGGAACGAAGCTTAATTTTCAAAGTCATACTCTATTGGTTTTAAACGTTTTTCCTATTTTATTCACAGCATATTGGTTTAAGAACATCAGGTAAAGAAGCTCTGGAACGTAACAGAGATGGAAAGCCTGGCTACGACTAACTCACAGAAGAGCTCAATGAATTCATTTGCAGCCAAATCATTGTGTTCTCTTATAACATGTGCAACCTGCGATTACCATATCAGAGAAATTGCTTGATATAAAAATACCAGAATACGAGGGGTGGCATCTTGACCGGACTAAAGGAGTAAGGCAATGTTGCGCCTCATCTGCTTCATCACCACCACCTTTCTCTTGTTTCTCAGTAGCTCTATCCTTGCTACCGCCATCTTCGCCGCTGTTTTGCTACAATTTGAAGTAAACAAAAGAACTAAAACGTGCTTTATTTGTTATTAAAGAAAATGCAAAGAAAGGAAACAAATCGAGAACCCCAGAAAAGGAAGGCCGAAAGCAAACGAAACGGGAATAAAAAAACCATAAAGACGATTTTAATGGGTTCGTACCATTTGCAGGAGTTGAAGCCGTTGCGAAAGAGAGAAAGAGTAAGCTTCATGGACCTCGGCCCTTGCCCTTGTCCCTGCCCTAGCCCCTAGCAGAAGAGAGACAGACAGACAGACAGACAGACAGTAAGGAAGAGAAGAAGATTATTTAGAAAGGTGGGATTTGCAACGTTTCGATGTGCTTAGAAAGCAAAAAGAAACACTGGGATTTCCCACTCTTCTACCACCGACTTGGCCTGATTTGTGAGACAGCGGTAGCCGTTACGAGATTTGACGCGCGGGAAGAAGAAAACAGAGTCATACGTTGGAAGAATCCGACGTTGTTAGGATTGGAATTGGGCCTAAACTTCTATCCAGAGAAAGAAACCCGTTTGTGAACAGTTAAAGAAAAGAAAAACAATGGCGGTAAAATTCAAAGGATGCTAATTCCGCCCCAACACACATTACTTGGTAAACAGGTTTGTCCTGCAACATTTTTGTAAGAGGAAAAGGATTTGCATGCCCATCTCGATATATAAAGTATAAATCTTTCTCTCTGGTTCTGGCTAATTTCTTGTTAGGAGAGTTCACTGAGAGTGGATTGAGTTTTTGGCGAGCTGAGATCTTCATTTTCTTTCTTTTCCTTCAAAAGGCTTGGGCATTTGACCTCGAAAGAGAGGAATGCTTGCCTATTTCAAGAATGGATTCAAAGCCCCTTGTTACTTGGGAATTGTTCCCTCTAGCCGACACCAGGCTAGAAGAAAAAAAGATCCAGTCGGTGAAGAGAGCAGCATTTCATTAGGATTGCCTCTTTCAGGGGAATATAATTTTATGTTCAAAGGAAAAAGTAATGCAGGTGGTGAAGGGAAGCAGGAGAGGTTTGAAATAGCCGAATGTAGCGATCAATATCAAAGGGAAGAACATGGCATGAACAGCCCCCAGGAGGCGGAGGTTGGGGGTCTTTCTTTGGAACTGAGTCTGGGTGGTTTTAATGATACAAGTGTTTACACTTACAAGGAGAGAGAGAGAATAGAGAATCCGGCAGTGCAAGAAGAGTTGCGTCTCACAGAAACAAGAGAATTAAAGTTGAGAGAGAAGAAGCGAGGATGTTAGTTTTGACGTCTGAACTGAGGCTCGGGCTTGATCCTTGCTGCATTAAAAAGAAGCTTACTGGAAGCGACCTTGGCAACATGTCAAGGCTCATGCTGGCATTAAAGTGCGTAGAATATCATGTCTTTCCATCGTGGAATGCTGAGGAAGGGTTGCCAGTTTCTGTGTGGGATTGTGATACACAGACCGAACATGAGCTGGTTCTCAAGCGGTGGAACAAGAGGGCCAACGTGTTTGTCAAAGAACTGGGTCATGGACTTCGTGGAGAGGAAGGAACTGAAGGTGGGGGATGAAATTGGCCTTTGCTGGGACACATGCAATTCAAGCTTCCAATTTTCTGTCGTTAACCCAGTGGCAACGAATTAGAGATTTTTTTTTAGTTATTTCTAATTTTTTTTAGGGTAATATGATGTAATTAATTAATTTCTTCATCTTCTGGTAATCAACTCTGAGCTAAATATATATAGTTTGTTCAAATTGAATGATTTGGTTGCTTGTGCTTATTTTTCGTTAGTTGGTGATAAATTAAGCCAATCTGATTTTTCATATTGTATTTTATATATGATATGTGAAAAATTAGCATGTATTTAGAACCATACTTGTACGTCAAGGTGGAGTTGATGCCCTCTACATCCTGAAATGAAACTTTTACCGTAGGATAGAATATTGCATTTGATGGTAGCTTTTAGTAGATTCCATAATTGTATTTTTAACACTATGTGATATGAAATGGTAAATATTTATTTAATTTAAAATAAAAGTGTATAAATTTTATTAAATATAATAAAAATAAAAATTTATTGTAAAAAATGGAGTTTATCCTTTTATAGAGAAGTTAGAACCTTCCCAATAAAACAAATTACTTCATTTAATATAAATGATTCATTAAGAAATTTTCCTATGATTAACCCTATGACTTGATAGAATTAATGTGATCATCAGGGAAAATAATTGTAAAGATTAATTGATTAGGTGAGTACTAATTACTTGTGGATAATTAATTGAACAAAATGGTGAGCAAGACAATCCGCTATTTCACGTTAGCTTAGCTTTGCCCCCAAAAAACCAAAAGGGATTAGCTTAGCTTAGCTTTTTCAAAATTCAAGATCCGACATCCTTCGACTTCCCACTTTTAACACCCTGTTACAACCAATCGAACCAAAGCATTGTCCAAACAATAAGCTCTTTCTCTCTCTCTCTTCACCGAATCGGCCAGCTCCATGCGGTGGCCGGCGGCGAATGGCGGGGGTCTGGGGGTGGCGGCGATGACCTACGTGGCGGTAGACTACCTGCGCAACGTCTCCACGACGTGGCACGAGCGTCTTCAACCCTTGCTCTGGTCTTTACTCGCGGTCATCGCCATCACGCGCGTGCCGTTCTACCGTCACTGGAACGCCGAATTTCGAGCTGCACTTCCTTTCCTTGCTTCGATCATATTCATGCTCTCTGCTCTTCTTTATGAAGCTCTCTCAGTTCGTTTCGTTACCGCTGTCCTTGGCCTCGATTGGCACCAGTAAGTTACTTGCTTCTTGTCATTTCCAAGTGTTGAATTAGCTTATATTCGATGTGATTTTATCTGATTTGTGTATTTCTCGGCTTTGTATTTTGTGGGTCGAGTTTGTTTTCTGTTGTTTCTTTGGCTCATTGTCAGTTTTATGGACTGTGCTTAGTGGCTGTGATTTGAGTTAGTTTTGGTGCATTAGGAAAGTAGTTAAAGGTGAATATGCCAGATTTGTTGCTTTCAAAGAGAGTTTTAAGTGCTAATTATGGAAAGATGGATGATTGGAATTACTGATAATAAATGCTGAGTAGTAAGAGCGATCAGCTTTGCTCCAGGTGTTGCAGGCTTGGAAACTTTGGTTCTTGCCTTTTTCAGTTTGTCAACTCACAGTCTGAATCCTGCTAGTTATAATTTGCAGTTTGTAAATCATCTTCCAATCAAACCTTGGGCTTTAGTTGCGTGATAATTTTACTTGGCTTTCATGTGTGATCAAACCATGTCAATGATTTTTTTATGGATTTCTTTCCAAAATGAATGCAATCTTTGTATGGCTGTAATAAATAGAGTTTGAGTTATCAAACCAGATTGCCTCGTGTCACATCCTCCATTATTGATGTTCTACACCATGTGCAAATGACAATTTAAGAATGTTTTTAAACCCTATAAAAAACTGGTAACATAGATAGAAGGATTTACCTTTAGAAAAATAGAAACAGATATTTAGAAGAAAGTTATTTATGGAGGTCTCTGACTCTGTTTTCTGTCAATAGGAACCTTGCAGTATAGTATGAAATTATGAATTTGAAACTTGGGTCCAATTCCGTTTCTATCCCAGGAACTAGAAACTTCCTACTTATACATGCAATTTCTAGCATTTTTCTTTACTCCTCAAATTCCACCATTTTGCAGAACTTAAAAAGGAAAGAGGAGAGACAAATTTGTCACTGACTCTTTTATAGGTAGTATTTTGAATCATATTTGGTTGTTGAGAGAGTCTTGTATGGCTAGAATTGATTCATATGCATGTAGGGGTTCTCCAGCCCTGATATCTAATTTTCCTGCAAGGGCTCTATTGATTTTGTTAACCTAAAAAGAGAATTTTTCTAAACCTTTACTCTTATTCTATTTTATGTTTTCTTTTAAGCCATTCTTTTCTGGTAGTGTGTCTTTTCTGTCTTGATGCACTTGCTAATAGCAGGGAATGGTAGTGTGGGGACACTAGCTATCACATTTGTGCTAGTCATCTTCCTGCACCAAATTTATCTAAAGTGGAATGCATGTATTCAACTGATGCTCTAGTTCATTCTCACTGTAATTTCTGTGAAAAGTGTCCTTTTATAGGACCAGTGGTTTTCTGGGTTTCTAACAGGCGTTCATTTCATTTCCTTCATGTCTCAACTCCTATATTTGAAGTTCTCTCCTTTCACTCAAAGCCAACTATCTTGGGTTTTATCATCGATCATAGAGGTGCTCATAGATAGCAACATGAATTCATAGATGAAAACATTTAATTTCTTGCTTGTTAAACAATGAAGGATTAACAGAGGAAAGAGATTAAGGATTTTACCTCTGTTACTCTTTTCCTGAAATTTGATTTAAGAAAAATCATGTGACATTTGGAAGTTTGAATCAGGACAAGATTTCAAATCTAGGACACCAAGCTGACCCAAGGAGGAGGCACATTTATGACTAAGCTTTGCCAAGTGATGGTTCACTTGTATGTGTTCTTTTTTAATGAAGACACCAAACATGCAAGATCCATAGTTGTTGTAGCTTTTTACACATGCCATCCGCATGTACTTTATTAGAGAATCGATAACATCAAATCATAAAATGATTCTATTTTCTGGATAATTTATTTAATGGGCATATGTTAAGTTTCAGATGCAGTGATTCAACTTTAGCATCCTCTCTGGCACATTAATAGAGATCTGGTACATAAGTTATTCGAGTTGCTAGAATAATTGATAACCAAAGCTAGTTTATTGACAAAATCTGTAGAACCACGTGGAAAGTTATTCTTATGCACCTTATTTAAAATGTTCTAGAAAGTAGGTAGAGTTACATGAACAGGCTCTGAAGAATAATTTGAGGAAAGCATGAGAATGAATCATTTTGTAATCACACAGTTGGTACATACAGATGAACTTAATTAATTAATCATTTTGTTCTTCAATGAGGATCCTCTACATTGCATAATGATTTGAAATTTTATACAAGAAATATAAATCAGAGGTGACACTTTCTCCATATTGCTTATTAATTTATAATATTAAATTTCTGCTTGATTCACATACTCTCTTGGGAACTAAGACAAAACCTTTTCTAAAACACTTCATGTGTAAATATATTTAAATTTTAATGGGACCATTGATTGAATTGGTAATATTTAACAGGGATACACCTCCACTTCCGGATACTGGTCAATGGTTGCTCCTGGCACTAAATGAGAAACTTCCTGAAGCAGTTGTTGAGATGCTGAGAGCTCACATTATTGGCCTGCACCATTTCTTGATGTTATTTATAATGTTGGCCTTCTCTGTGCTATTTGACTCTGTAAAAGCCCCTGGTCTTGGGTTAGGTGCACGATACATGTTTACCATGGCAATTGGCCGTCTTCTTCGTGCTATAACTTTTGCATCTACAATTCTGCCATCAGCCCGCCCTTGGTGTGCTTCAGCTCGATTCCGGGTCCCGGGACATCCTCATCCTTGGGCTCAGAAATATTATGTTCCTTATGCTTCAGATGCAAATGCCATTCGTCAAGTTATACAACAGGATATAGCATATGGTATGTTTTTTTTATATATATATTTGCTACTATGTTATAAGCAGGTCCTTAATTGTTATTGTTTTGTCTATTTGTAATTTCCCTGCCTCCGGGAGTTAGTCTTAAAATTTTCTTTTTTTTTTTTCCAGCTGATACTGGCAGATACCTTGGTGACTACCGTCCAGATTGGGGTTCAATGAGCTTCCTGATTGATTTTCTGCGACCCACCCCATCAGAAGGAACTTCATGGTACAGTCTGCTTAAAAAGGCAGGGGGTGGCTGCAATGACCTTCTATACAGTGGCCACATGCTGGTTGCTGTACTGACCGCAATGGCTTGGACGGTATTGTTTTAATACATTCAGAAACTGTACTGTCTCTTCTTCTAGTGGCTATTGGTAAATCATAAATGACCAAGCCATATTGGCCTTTCTGAATCCTAAATTGCAGGAGGCTTATGGGGGGTTTAGCTCAGCTCTCATATGGCTGCTTGTTATGCACAGTGCTCAGCGTGAAATAAGAGAGCGCCACCATTATACTGTAGACTGTATTGTTGCCATTTATGTGGGTATTCTTCTGTGGAAGATGACGGGTTTTATCTGGTCAGCTAAGGATGGAACTAGAGATAGCAGACTCACGAAGCTTGGGAAAATTCAAGGTAGACTACTCCAAGCTGCCAAGGATTCAGACATGGATGAAGTAAGGGAGCTTCTCAAAGATGTTGAGTTGGGCAGTCAGGATAGCCAGAAGAAAGGACCAAGCAAGGTTATGTGGTTGTTTGCTTGCGGGACTATTTTCTTCTCACTTACCATCGTTGTTCTGGCCTTCACATGGACAAGCGATGGCTGACATCCTCGCATCATGTTGTACCACGGTTTTGAGGTTAGAGATAATAGTGATTGTACACGATTCTTCTCCGATAAGGGACTTGTGTAGTTCTAATCTGTCAGGTTTTTTACTTCCCTGTTCTAACAGGGAAGTAAATATACATATTTTTTGAACATCTAATATTTCTATATTTTTATATTTCAAATACATTTCTCATATTCTTTTTTATTTTTTGATATTAAAAATTAAAAAAAATCAAATTTATAGAAAAATTTAAAATTTAATTCAAAATTTGGTCAAAAGTAATATTAACTTATTGATATAGTAACTTAATTAACATTAAATATATTACTATACTATGTTAGATTACTTAATATCTTAGTAATATACTATATCTTACTATGCTATGGTAATATAGTATAACTTACATTAATATAGTAACTTATTAATATACTATATGATAAATTTTATTAACATTTAATTAAAAATAAGTCACCTTAATCAATAACCAAAGTATAAAATAACAATAATTTATTGTTAACCTTATTTTAATTTAATCTAATCAGTCAATTAAGTCAATATCAATAACTAATTAATTATTGAAACATACAAGATCACTTCTTGTCAACAAAAAATTAACAATAAGGTTATACTATTAAATAAATTAAATTTGTAGAATTCATGTTGAAATCCTTAAAAAAAATTATGATATATATGAAAATGAAAAGGAAAGCTATTGCCAAAAGTAAATTTATATTAATTATAAAATAAACACAATGCCAATAATTTCTAAGCAAATCATAAAATAAATTAAAAAAAGTTAAAATTAGGTAAACTCATATTAACGGTTAAATCGGTTAAGAAAAACATTTAATCGGTTCAGTTAAAACTGTAGAAAAAATCAGTTAAGTCAGATTGATTAGATTTTCTGAATGAATTAACCCGCTTAATTTATTTTCCTTTTCTTGCTTGTATCAAATATGTAAAAGTAGGCCAAAATAGACACCACGTCACCAAATACAATTTTTATTTAGATCCGGTGCAACATTTCCATCAGACACTAATTCGGATCCCATCGGCGAACTCAAATCTGGCCAACATTTAAAAAGTCAAACAAACTAATGATGCTCAATTCTGAGCATCCAACGGCTTTAATCCTGATGCCGTTGTATAATAAAAAACCAATTATCACACCGAATCATCAAGTCGTTGTTGGTCAATTTCTACGTATCTGTCTAAAACCAAACAGATATTTACCTCTTTTTCTATTTTGGAGCGATTGATATCCAAACATCGGCTAAGCTGAAGCTTACATCGCCCAACACTTCTTCGGAACAGTAAAAATCGGCGTCTTCGAAGTCGAGGTAATGGCGATTTCTGCCTCCGCATCAACTCTTCCTGCGCTTAATCGCCAAAACTCAACCAAATTGTCCTCTTACTACTATTCATCGAAACTATCATTCTCTTCGTCTCTTCAATTTCCTCTTCGGTCTCACCCGATTGGAATCGGTAATAAGGCGATTTCTTCTTCCTCGCTGCCTCGGCACCGTCCTTTGGTGGTACAGCTCTTTAAAACCTCATTTCCTTTTTAAAACTTTTTAAAAGGAACGTCCTTTGAATTGAAACATTACTCTTAAACTAATTTACATTATCTGAGCTTTTAGGTTTAGCGGAATTTTAGTGAAATTGTTTGTTCGTAGCATTTTATTCGATTTAATTAATGTTTTTGCTAATATGTATGTCTCAATTTCGGTTACCTTAAAATAGGTTGAAGCAAAGAAGCAAACATTTAACTCCTTTGATGACTTGTTAGCGAATTCCGACAAGCCTGTTTTGGTTGACTTCTATGCTACCTGGTAACTATCTCTTAACTTGGATGCTAACCCTATTTTGTGAATATTTAGAATCGCTTAATTGGTTAAATTATGGTTTTAATTTTTGGGAATTCAGATCCTTTCTTTTTTCAAGGATTGAAATTCCAGGAAATGGCTGTTTTTGTAGGTGTGGACCTTGTCAATTCATGGTTCCAATCCTCAATGAAGTGAGTACTGCTCTGAAAGATAAGATTCAGGTGGTGAAAATTGACACTGAGAAGTACCCTAGCATTGCTGATAAATACAGAATAGAGGCATTGCCGACTTTCATCATATTTAAGGATGGGAAGCCATTTGATCGTTTCGTAAGTTTATTTAGTAGCTCAAGTTTTGCTTGAATGCTCACTCTTTACACCTGTGTTTATGCTTATGAAATTGCAAAAGTATTTTATTAGGCCTTCATAGAAGATTGGTGTCAGTTCATCTTGGCATACAGGGCATGGATTAATACATTGATTTATCATAAATTGTTCGGACTAATATGTTCTTTTCAAGATAGACCTGACTGTTTAAGGTTTATGGTTTCCTTTCTTCTTAGACCCTGTTATAGTCTTTTTGGTATCAGTAGAGCATTCATGTGTTGCATGTAATAGGACGTTCCTTTCGTCCCATCTGAGTAGTTGTTCTTCATGCATTTATGCCATTGTTAGACTGCATCAGTGATATGTGCATGTTTCAATTGCTGAATTCTATATCATTTTTGAATTAATTTTTGGTATTTCTTAATTCATGTGCAGTTGGTCTACATTTTAAGTTTAGATTTTTTTTCTTAACACTTTTAGCTCCATTTATTATCAGGAGGGTGCCCTCACTGCCAATCAGCTCATTCAATGCATTGAGAATTCTTTAAGTGTTAAGCAATAGCTGTGGTGAGCCTTTGATATGTTCCTATAATCGTTTTTTCCCCTTGATCTGCATGCTTAAGAAACACCCTTTACCATATCTTTCTCTGCTTCCTTTTCACTAATGTTTATTTTCAGCAGGTTCGACCATCTTCTGTAACTGAACTGTTGGATTGGAGTAATGAACGTACAGGAGATTGAGACAGCTTTCGTGTCCATGCTTTAGATATTTCTTGATATAAATTATTGTGTATGTGCAGATGAATTTTGTCCCTGCTTCCAAGGATTTTGACGACATAGAAAGACATTGTATGCTCTGCGATTGCCGAATGGTTGCATTTATCCAATGAGCATCTCTTTTTGGCTATTAGTAGAATACATTTATTGAACTCGGCATCAATGATAATGTTGATTTGGATCCTCTATTCTGCACCGGAGTCTACTTTTGTTAACATGATAACAAATCTTTATAATCTTTAAGACTATCAGGCACCTCACGTTCATCAAACTGGCATAGATGCTTTTAGTGTAGCATGGTTTTGTTTCTTCATTAGCATTCAACCCAAGAGTAAAATGGTGGTGATTTCTATGCGTACGGAATCTTCTTATAGTTTTTAATTTGGGAAAAGATGATTTTGAGCCAAATTCTTTGACTTGTCATTTGTGATTGAGTTAAATACGTTAATATTTGCACATACTTTTATCATTGAATCAAATACTTGATATTTAGACATAAATATTGACATTGGCTTTTCCAAGAGCGCTAAACAAAACCATGAGCTTTAAACATATCTCGTCAGTACTAATTACATAGTGGAGGCGAGAGTCCCATTCATTGGAATTTGGATAACAATTGACCTATTGGTAGAGTCATTTACCATGTCCATGACTGGAGTGGGAGGGAAACAAGAGGAAATGGAAATGGAAATGGAAATGAGAGCAAAGCAAGACTTCGACTCTGGACAAGACATAACCCCACCCATTCTTCCTATTTCCTTTTCCCTCTACGATTCTGTCCTCTCTTCCCATTGCTCCTCTTGCTTCTCCCGTCTCCCCCCTACCGTCGCCCATGTTCCCCGCCATGTGCCTCTCTATTGCTCCCCCGCCTGCTACTCCTCCCACTCCCCTCTCCATTCCTCCAGCGCCGAATCCCTCCTACCCCCCACCTGTCCTGACTCCTCCGACCTCCGCACCGCTCTCCGCCTCCTCCAATCCCTCCCCTCCACGCCTCCCCACCTCCACCGCATTGACGGCCTCCTCACCAACCATCATATGCTGACTTCGTCATCTCCCGAAGTCGCAGCCAAAATTCGGCAGGGAGCTATAGCCATGGCCGCCGCGAGGAAATCACGAAACAGAGATAACGAAGGACAAAGCGACGGCTTTTTACTGGAAGAGGCCGTCTTAAGCTTAATCATAACAAACGCCGTGGAAGTGCAAGACGAGAGTGGGCGCTCTCTAGGGATCGCCGTATACGATCTGAGTTTCTCTTGGATCAATCACAGCTGTTCTCCCAACGCTTGTTACCGATTCTCAATCTCGTCCCCCCATGCGACGTCGTCGTTTCGGGAAGATTCCAGTTCCACGCTAAGGATCGTTCCTAGCGTTTCAGGGGAAGAGTGTGATGCTTGTGGCTGTGTTGAGCACACAAAAGGTTGCTCTTTCTACTAATTTTTACTGCACACACTTATCTTTTTCGAATTTTTGTTGATGTGGATGAAATTCTGTTACAAATCTGTCTTTGATTTTGTTGTTTGATTTTATGCAGGGAATAAGGGATACGAATTAGGTCCTAAGATTATAGTGCGGAGTATTAAGAGGATTAGAAAGGGGGAGGAAGTTTGTGTTTCATACACTGATTTGCTGCAACCGAAGGTGCTTTGTTATTTTCTAATACCGTAATCTAAATGTTGATTTCAATATCAAGGCTTGATTATGCGAAATGTGAAATGAACATGTGCAATGTGGTTTGTTTGGTTTCATAATTCAATTGAATCCTGTCGCTTTTATGTGGGAACAATGTGAGCATTTGATTGCAAAATCCATAGCTTAAGAAATTAGGATGTTGAACATGTTTACTTATAGTCTAATGAGGATTCTTCTTGAATGGTGGAAAACTTGTCACAGATTGGGATAAAATGATCATTTATAGAAAATACTTAAAACAGTTAAAATTAATTTACAGTTCTACACTATGGGATATACTGATTTACTGGTTTTATTATAAATTTTTCTTTTGGTTTAATATCTTTTAATGGGAAAATTCATTACCTTCATTTCAAGTACTCCACACCCAAATTTTACCTTTACTGTATCAAAGAAAATATCTTAAATAATTTTAGGCCATTCAAAGATGGAAATTACTGGAATGAATGGAGGAACTAAAATGGTTGGGCTAAACAAGATATCTATTATAAATGTAGCTAATGTCTTAATTATCCTCAGGCTCGGTTCTAGCACCTTCAGTGGTCTCAAAACCAATAGAAATCTTTTCATTACCTACACTCAAGTTAAACTTTAGGGCAAGAAAGAAAAGATATCAAAAGATTGCTGGGTGGCTATGTTGTTGTCCCACATGTTCTGTATTCTAGTTCTAATTTCTTGTTTCACTTCCTTTTTTCAGGCAATGAGGCAATCGGAGTTGCGGTCTAAGTATCAATTTACCTGTTCTTGTAGCCGATGTAGTGCATCACCCACAACCTATGTTGATCGTGCTTTAGAGGTTAGAAACTGCATAAGGATTCTGTTTAATCAAAGTATTTTCTTTGCTGTTTGGACATGTGAGTCTTGTTAAAGTCAGCTTAGAAGCTCATAATGGATCAAGACCTTATTTTCTCTATCTCTTTAGAACATTTATTCAATTGTCTCCTTATGTAGCATTTTGTTTCTTTTGGCTTTCTACACGCTAGGAGGGTTGGATCCACATTTTTTTGGTTAGGGCATACATGATCTCCCTTATTGGAACTGGACACTCCCTTTAGCTTGAATCTGTTAAAAAGATTTATCTCCTAACCTGCCCGTTGCAGATAGGTGATTCACATTGAAATGCTCATTCATGACCTTCATGCTTATGAGACAAAAGATTATTTGGTATTTTATACTTATTCTGTAGAAAGACATTCTCCCTTTTCTTTTTTCTCTTGTTTAGCAGTGAACCCCTTGCAACTGTGGTACAGCAATTTACATCTGTTAATTTCAAGTTCTATATTTGCATCATTATTTGTTTAAGATGTATGAATTTTATAAACAAGAATTTTAAAGAATCATCTGCACTTAATTTCAGGAAATTTCTACTTGCAATCTCAGCTTTTCAAGCTCAAGCTTCGATCATAACCTTTATAGGGATGAGGCATCTAAAAGGGTGTACAGTTACATGGATGAAACTATAACTGAGTTTTTGTCAGTTGGTGATCCTGAATCTTGCTGTGAGAAGCTTGAGAGCATACTAAACCTAGGTCTTCACATTGAACAAGTAGAAAGCAAGGATGGAAAATCACAGCTAAATTTCAAGTTGCATCCTTTTCACCATCTTGCTCTTAATGCTTACACAACTCTCACTTCTGCATATAGAATCTGTTCGAGTGATTTATTGGCCCTCCATCCAGAGATAGATGAATGTCAATTGAAAGCATTTGACACGAATAGGACCAGTGCAGCTTACTCTTTGTTGCTGGCAGGTGCAACTCACCATCTGTTTTGCTCAGAATCTTCTTTGATTGCATCTGCTGCAAATTTCTGGACAAATGCAGGGGAATCTTTAGTAACCCTTGCTAGAAGCTCTCTGTGGAACTTGTTTGTGAAGTGGGGCTTTCCTATTTCAGAAGTGTCTACAATTGCAAAGCATAAATGCTCCAAGTGCTCATTGATGGACATATTTGATGCCAAATCAATCCTTAGCCAAGCACAGAGAGTGAATTTCGAGCATATATCTAGTGACTTTCTTGATTGTGTGAGCAACATGACAGCGAAGATTTGGAGGTTTCTGGCTCGTGGTTGTCATTACTTGGAAATATTTGAAGATCCTTTTGATTTCAGATGGCTTGGACAATCATGGGATTTTCATGCTGATGCGAACCGCAATGATGAGGATTCCAAATTCATAACAGAGGGTAGCTATAAACATCAGGCACAATGGTATACTAAGGAAAGAAGGATACACATGTACGAGGTTGGTATCCATTGCTTACTGTATGGAGGAATTTTAGCACACATTTGTTATGGACAGAATTCCCAATTAAGCACTCATGTTTTGAACATTTTGTATGGTGTAGATAGCATTGTACATTGATTCAGGAGACAAATTAACTTTGTGAACACAAGCAAATTTGGCATGCAAATGTTTGTGAGAGACAAATCTTAGAAACAATTTAATGTTATGTTTTCAGTAATTTAGATTTTTTATAGCAAAGTGACTCTTGCAAGCATATAAATACAATTAGAGTATTGCAGGTATTTGATGCAAGCCCTTCAACCATATTTCTTTATATTTGTTTTGACATACATTAAATTACAATAATATCTTGTGCTTTGAAGTAAAATCAATTTACCTTCTAAACTTTAAATTTCGACACTTAACTATCCGCGTATAATTTCGATTACTTTTCTACTTAACACTATTAATTTTATTTTCAAGAATTTTTTTAAAATATTTATTATTTTATTAATTTAATAAAATATTAAATAAAGTTTAAATCTCTTCTTTTTCAATTATAATGTATATATATATATATATATCTTTTACAATTATTATATTAAATAAGGTTCATGAATTATTCAGAATTGACGAAAATATAAGCGTGTGGGCTTTGAAGAAGGGGCTAAAATTCGTGAAGGAATTGGATTTGTCGTGGAGTTTGGATGTCAAATTGTCCTCAAAAGGCTTATCCTCCTTGCTGTATCTGTTACCATTACTATTGTATTATAAGCAACAAATCACAAAGTAACAACGTGGTCCATCATTTTCAGCATTCATACTCATTTAGATCATACACCTCCATCCCACCATCTAACCCTTTCCTTTATTATATCTTTTATTTCTCTTTTCCTTCATGCATGGCCCTCTCAACTTAAGTTGATGCCTTGTTTCTCGGTAACGCCATTGTTTCTAACTTCTTTATTTGCTTCACCAGATCCAGATCCCTGTTTCATTACATCTTCAACGACCCATCAGTCAAGAAGAGAGAATAAAATATTATGCTAAAGTTTTAATTATAAATTATAAATATTTTATATTTTAAAATAAAATAAATAATCATTTTAAAATTTATTAATAATTTTAATAAATTATCAAAAAAGCTGAAAATCATAAGGTGTACTAAAATGATACCCATTACCCAATTAATATTGCTTTTACTGAAATTGATAAACAATATATGAATTAAAAATGAGTGAGTGGAATATTATCCCCTTGCCTTGCCGACAGAAGATGTGTCTCTCAACTGCCATTCAGCTCTACCATTATCCATCTGTTGGATCAATTTCAGCCTCACCTTTATGGACCACCCCTTTTCCTTTGAAAATCGGATGAAAATCTACTGTCTCATTAATTAATTAAATTTGAAACGTTTCTGGGTCAGCTTCAATTCCTACGCAGGCCACGTTTACGGATTATAAAGGGCAATGGTTTTGTTTGTTATGCTACGTGGATTACCTAATTTTAGGGTCAGGTGTCATCACTCATCATGTTATCCCTTCTTCGATTAATCTTTCTTCAAATGTTATAGCATTAGTTGATCACTTCTTGCTGATACCTTCCTGAGGTATACCGTCAATCGCCAGGATTAGTAAATTCAAAAAGGAGAGCCAAGTCAATCAATTATAATAACCAAGAATGAACACAAAAGAAATATTATAAAATTAAAAAAATAAATAAAACATTGATTGAAAACTTTTCAGCATAATACTCAAAAAAAAAAACCTTAGACTATTTAAGAAAATTGAAATAAATTTTTATTTTATTATTAAGTTCAATCAAGTTTCAATACTTTTATTTTGAGTCTAATAAGCACTTATAAATAATAGTTGACTAATTGTCATTAATGAAAATACATTTATCATTTTATACTCACATGGTATTAATGTAGAAGATAAAAATGACAAATGGTCATGTTATCATACAATATTACCATGCCACGTTATAATAAATTATAACATATCAACATGTCATGTCATTATAAATTATTACGTATCAACATGTCATATGCTATAGAATGATAAGTGACATTTTTATTGAGTCAATTATTAATTATAAAAATTTATTTGATTTAAAATAAAAATATAAAAATTTAATTAAACATAACAAAATAATAATAACTTATTTAAATTTTCTAAATAACTTAAGAACTTTTTAAAGTATCATACAAATTTAAAAGTAAAACCTACCATGATCCATTGAAAGTCATGTATTCCCACCGTCCAACAACATTTATTGTGCAAGCCAGGTCATGGAAGCCTTAATCACCTAATTTTGGGTACCATCACTTATATATAGACCCCTATCATACAACATCCTTCCATCGCATCCCAATCCACCTTAATTAACATCACATTGCCATATTTCCTTCTACTCTCTTTGTTAAGCATACTCAACCAACCACCACGCCAAAATGGCTGAGGAGAAGCACCGCCACCACCTCTTCCACCACCACAAGGAGGATGAAAAGCCTGTTGACACCTCTGTCTACTCTGAAACTGCTTACTCTGGTGATATCTCTGCTGGTTATGGGGCTGGCCCGGCTGAAACGGAAGTGGATTACAAGAAGGAAGAGAAGCACCACAAGCACCTCGAGCACGTTGGGGAGCTAGGGGCTGCCGCAGCTGGTGCTTATGCACTGGTAATGCTTTCTCACGATTTCATTTTCTCATCACTTATTTAATTAAGTTATGCTTAATTAGCAGCAACATCTAACCCTTTCATAGAGCATCTTCTCTTTGTTATTGGCGTGTTAGCACGTACAAAAATATTACCCTTTTCATGGCTTTTGGTCAATCAATTAATAATAGTTACAATTTTATATGTATATTTCAGCATGAGAAGCACAAGGCAAAGAAAGATCCGGAGCATGCCCACAGGCACAAGATAGAAGAGGAAGTGGCAGCAGCCGCAGCAGTGGGAGCCGGGGGGTTTGCATTCCACGAGCATCATGAGAAGAAAGAAGCGAAGAAAGAAGAAGAGGAGGCTCATGGAAAGAAGAAGCACCACTTTTTCTGATTTACTGATACTTTTCTTCTTCTTTACGTCATTCCGTGTGTTGTGTTTGTCACCAGTGAGCAGCTACCCTTAATAAGAACTATTGGTGTGGGCTTCGTCTGTGTATTGTAGCCGCTTTCTGCAATTATTGTGTGTCCCTATTAGATCATGTTATCCGCTTTTCTCAGGCTCTATCTGTTTATAATAATATTTTCGGCTGTGTTTTTGTGAATTAATCTTCTGTAAGGTATATTATCTAATTAAGTTTCTTCTTTTTCACTTAATTTTTGACTTTACTTGCGTTATTATCTAATAACTTATTTTATTAAAATAATCATAATCCAAGTACTTGATCAAGTTCATAGCTTCAAAAGTCAATCTTTTAATTTCTATGTGTGTGAGAGACTTTGAAATTGAATCATTCCGGTATGTGAACTATTGATTGATTAATGATAAGAATTTATATAATTTTTTATTAATTCCTAAAGGTTACTTTTTTATATTTGAGAAATGGAAATTTTGAATCTAACTTTTTGAATGGAAAGAAGTATGCACTAATTATTCAATTTAAAGCTCAAACATATTTTATAGATGTAATTCTTATAAAATTCATAAACTATTCAAAAAAACTTTAAATAAAACTTTTATTATTTTATTACTTCAATCAAATTTTTATATTTTTATTTTAAGTGTTTGTTTTGTGTAGTTTATTTTTAACTCATCTACTTTTTAAAAGTAAAAGTTGAGCCCAACAGTACTCGGTTAGAAGCTTTTTTTAAAAAAAAAAGATTTTTTTTAAAGAATAAATTTTCTTAAAAAAATGAGGTTTGAAAAAAGCTCTTAAAGAGCTTTCTCTTCTCTTTTTTTCAAAAAACATGTCAATTTTTTAGGAAAGTTATTTTTTTTTCAAAAAGATCCTTTTTCAAAAAATATCATTCCCTCTCTCCTATCGATCTTCCTCTTCTCTCCCCCTTTCTATAAATCATACTTTTAAGGTTTGTTTTATTCTTACAAAAATTAAGGAAAAAAAAAATTCAAAATTCAAAACTGTCTTCGAGTATTTTTTTTTCATTTTCATTTTATTTTCTATCATTTTTTTTGTTTTGAAAATTTCTTTATTGTTTGATATTTTTCAATTTATTATTTGATATGACAATTATGTGATATTTATTTGTTGTTAACTTCTTTCTGATGTATATAACATTTATTTATTATGATTGAAATAATTAGTCAAATATATCAATGATTGTTGAGATAAATTATATGAAAATTGAAAAATCAATATTTATATTCATTTATAGTAACTCAGTTTTAAAGAATTTTTTCTTTTTAGTATAACAATAGGCTACACTATAAGAAAATTGAACTAGATTTTAATTCCTTTCACAACAAGAATTATAGAATCCCTGAACTTCTTAGTAGTGAATTCTACATTTAAGCTAATAGTATCCAACAGATGATGTGGTACTCCTTGACAAAATAAATAACCCATTAAAAATTAAAAAAGATATAAAAACTAAGACCTTTTTGTTCATGGAGGGGAACTTTGTTGGTAAGGATATTAAGACCTTGAAAGACTTGCATAGAATTAGCATTGATGATTTTAATAGAAAAATGGGTTGCCAAATCAATGGCTAAATGTGATTTTTCTAACCCAGTTGGATCAATTATTAATTCCACTTTGAGTTCTCTTCCATATATGTTACATCAATTTTGTTCCAAAGGTCATAAATTTCAAGCCAATCTTTAAAAAATAACAATAATTATTTTTTTATCTTTCAGCAATTTATAATATTATAAGAAAAATTATATTTTTTTCACACTCACCTTTTTTTATTTGATTCAATTTTTTTCTCCTGATTTATTAAATACCCTTTATAGTAATTTTAATTAAAATTAAAGTTGATAAAAATTGTTTTGCCAAATAGCTTATCTATAAAAAAGAGCTTATAAAAAGTAAATTCACCAAATAGTTTTAGCTTAATTTTAAAAGCTATTATTTTTCATAAGAACTTCATAATAGCTTTTAAGCTCAAAAAAAGTCATACCAAACATGCTCTAATAAGTTAAATAAGCCTTATGACCAATGATTGACATTAGTCAAAATGTCACTAACATGGTTAATCAAAATGTTACTTATAATTTTATAACACATGGCACTAACATGGTTTGTCTGCATATTATAATTAATGATGACAAAATAGTATTATGACATGTCATATGATATTTTTTACCATTTACATAAATGTCACGTAAATATAAAACTATAAGTGATATTTTAACTAATAACAATTAATCAACTGTTAGTCATAAAAGTCAATCGGTCCAAAATAAAAGTATGAAAACTTAATTGAACGTAATAAAAAAAATAAAAACTTATCTAAATTTTTTAAATAATTTAGAAACTTTTTCAAATATTATACCTTTATTTTATATATTTGCATTCACCTACTTTTAACCTCATTTTATCACAGTTAGTTTAATTTAGATATAATAATTTGGATATAATAATTTAGTTTAAAATCTTTCACAAATCGTTTGTAATATCCGACTAAGCTCAAAAAACTTTTAACTTCGATTACAAATTTCGAGCTTGGCCAATTTTCTACAGCTTCTATCTTGTTAAGATCCACTTGCACCCTTTGTTCAGACATGACATGTCTCAAGAAACTAACTTTACTTAGTTAAAACTCATATTTTGAAAACTTAGCATATAATCTATGCTTTCTTAGGGTCTATAGCACAATTCTTAGATGTTGCACATGTTCCTCCGGACTCTTAAAATACACCAATATGTCATCTATGAACACGACCAAAAATTTATCCAAGTATGACCGAAAGACCTTGTTCATCAAATCCATAAATGTTGTGGGTGCATTAGTGAGCCTAAACGACATCAATAAAAACTCATAATATCCATATTGTGTGCGAAAACTGTCTTAGGTACATCACAGTCCCTTATTCTCAACTCGTGATACCTCAAGCGTACATCGATTTTAGTGAAACACATGGCACCCTACAACTGATCAAACAAATCATCAATCCTCAAAAGTAGATATTTGTTCTTCATAGCGACTTTATTCAATTGTCGGTAATCAATAAAAAATCAAAAGCTACCATCTTTCTTCTTTACAAATAGCACAAGAGCTCCCCAAGGTGAACACTAGGACAAATAAAACCTTTATTTAATAAGTCCTCCGGTTGCCCTTTTAGCTCCCCCAACTTAGCTGAGCCATTCGATAAGGAGGTATCGAAATTGGTTGCATATCCAAAATCAAATTAATACAAAATTCAATCTTCCTTTCAAAAGGCAATCTAGGCAATTCTTTTGGAAATACATTCAGATACTCACCCACTACAAGTACGAAATCCACACTCCCTTCTTCCATTGAAATATCTCTTATCATCACCAAGAACTTTTGGCCTTTTTGCCTCAATATCAGTCTGACGGCTACGCTTGATTCAACTTCTATAGACACTAGGCTACCATGCCCGTATATCACAAATGAGGATTCCCCTAGTAACTTATAGTTCACCAATTTACAGTAGTAGTTTACCTTGGAAAAATAAGATGTTAACAAGTCCATGCACAAAATCACATCAAAATCCAAAGTTTGTAGCAATACCAAATCTGTTAAGATGTTTTTATCCTTTACGGGGACCACAAAAGATTTATATACATACTCCGTAACAAATATCGCCTCCAAGGGGGTAGTCACAATCAAAGGTTCCACCATGTTATTACAATACCGATCTAATTTCGACACAAAGTGCCGGGACACAGAAGAATGTGTCGATCCAGAATCAAACAGGACTAATGCTTCGGTACCTCATATAAGAAGTGTACTTGTGATCACTGCATTAAAAGTCTGATCATATTACGATGTCAAAGCAAATACACGTGCTTGACCTCCACTTTCATTACCTGGTTGTGTCAATCTACCACAAGATGATGAAGCCACACCTTTGCCTTTGTCACCTTTAACATTCCTCCCAACTTGTGCCATTTTAGGTGAGATAGTCGCCACTTGTCACACATATCCGTGGTCACCCTCTGCTATTTGCCTCTGCATAGGGTAATCTTTTATCAATGTCAAAACTAACCACATCCAAAACATAATCCCGCTGTCTTGTGGCACAGTCCACCATGTGCTTTACCATAATAATTACATAAAACACCCTTTTATCTAAAGCCCAAATTAGATGCTCCACTGGATTGCCCTCGACTAAATGGTGAGCTAAACGAATCATTGTTTCTTGATGACGTGCACATAAGGGTAATTCCTTCACGACTTTGATAGCGTAAGAATATGGGACTTTTAGTCACGCTAGATTCTTTTCAATCTTGATGACCTTGTGTTCGAGCTTTTCGACCTTTACCTTTTTCCATTCTAGATTTCAATCAAAGTTATTCAAATTATTCCCCATGACACACTCTAGTCATTACAGTATCACATCAGATTCATCTCATATTTATCTAAGCCTCTCCACAGCTATCTCACTTCATATGCAAATCAAATCAATGAGTGTTCTTCCCCTGGACACAGCCAAATCATGCTTAATGGCCAACAAATGGAAAATCAAATCACGGTCAAGGCAAAGCTGCTGGTAAAGAATAAATCACGAGTCTACAGAAGCAACGGGTGAAGAATAAATCACGCACGACGTTGAAAAAATTGATCGGAGAAATTTTTTGACGTCGACATCACTCGAAATACTCTCAGATGCATGGCATCAAAGCATTGCAAATGAGAATCACAGGTGGGATTAGTGCCACCATCCCTGCTTACCACCATCTTTGCAAGCATTCACATAGTCACAGAGGGATAAAACTCCACTCCACCACAAATCATATCAACATTTGGAATTCATTTCTCAGACGAAAATATAAATTCAAAAATAAGATCATCATGCCTTTATCATTCACATTTCCTCATCGAACCTTAATTCACATTTATCGAGCTTTAGTCATCTTTAAGCTCGATTAGCTTATAAGTACCTTTAAGTCTCCAAGGCATCATTCAATCAAAGTTTCTCAACATATCATTCACAAAAGGCAATCTACTTTTATGGGTTCATCACAGCCTCTAGACATTCTAGTCTAGATACACACAACATAGTCCACCTATTTAGTTTACATCATAGCACACAATCACACACGATTTGTATATATATACACAAATACATGTATTATTTTGTAACCCAGGTTCATTCGTCTAGGCATACATATTTCATT